CGAAAAATACTGTAGTTGGTATAATTTGAGTGGAAGTGGGCAACAACATAAATTACGCGGCAGAGAAACTGACGTATTTCCATTGAGCAAATTTATTTTTGAAATTCTAATTTGCGCATTTTCATGGTCAATAGAAACAACTCTTATGATGCAAAGTAAAATACAGCATTTTCATAACAACTGAAGGTAACAGTTACTTGATTGTGGTACATAATTACACCCCACCACTGGTCGTCCACACGGCTTTCTGGCAGCAAAGGCTCAGAATTTAGTGACTGAAGCAAAAAAAAAAGTGTGTGTGTGTGTGTGGGAGGGGGGCGCACAGGATGGCTGCTCCTCCTGAGACTCACCTCGTGCTGCTTCCGGAGATTATTCACAGTTTCTTCTTTTTTCAAGATGGCCGACTTCACTCTGCAAATGACACACAGGAGAGTGTTTCGTATGAGAAGGTTTCTGCGACGGTCAGAGTCTGGTTCTGACAACCGGGAGCTGAAAGCTACCTTCTGACAAACGTTCACATCATCAGATAAATAAATGAATGTTTGTGAGTCAACATTTATTTTATGTTTTATTCAAACAACTTTAGATCATCAACACGCCTGAGTGAGAGGAAACTCTGTGGTTCACTGAGCGGACAGCGAGCGGGACTCAGAACGTGTTCAGATAACGCTCCTCTTCACCAAGCGGGGCCACATTCAGAGGATGTGTCGTGTTGTGTTCAGTGACAATAAAGTTAAAAGCCTGAGGCCAAGAAATGGATGGTTTGGTGCCAGGACACAACTCAATCCTGCCTTTCTACAACCATTAAAACCAGATGTTTGGGGCTTTTGCATCAACAAATGCTGGGAAATGTTAAATAGAGGACTGTTCTGACAACTGTTCTAAATCACACACAAACACTAAAGGAGGGGGAAGAAACATAAAATGGACTGAGCTGAAAYTTGTCACGTWTTAGTTACGAAACAAACAATCGGGTTTATTGCTGCTCTTCTTTGGCTGCGGAATTATTGAACTGTTGAAATAAAACAAGTGGATTTTCTCCAACATGGTTCAGTTTTTCAATTTTTCTCAACAAACATTTAAAACTAAAAACTGGTTCTCATATTTAGCAGACAGCTGTTGAGTTTTACTGTTGTGGGAAACATTTAGTGTTTCTAAAAACAGCCGGACTGCTGGGGCTCATGTTTGCTGACATAAACAGTTAAAAAAGAAAGGTTTCTTTCCRTTTTCTCCTGGAAGTTTTGTTTCTGTCTCTCTGTTTACTCCATCCCAGCATGAATCAGCGCTCCACCCACCGATCATCACACTTCACAGCCAAGTGGGTTTTCTTCAAACCCAGATTCAGAGAAGTTCCTTCATCAATTTCGAAATTGATGTTAAAAGTGACACGTTTAGGAGAATGATAAAGTTTGGATTGTTGAAAAAATTTGAAATAGTATATATTCATTCATTTAAATTGTTGTTCCAGGAAGATTTTTGTTTTGTTTTAAGTGAAAAATTACTGTTTGAATTTATACTTGAGAAAAAAGAGGCAGATTTAAGATTTTTTTCCTCTCTCTGCTGCCTTTCATTTCATTGTATTTTCTTTCTTTTTTATTGTACATAGAATTTTGTTTTTTAAGAAATGAATAAAGTTTGAAATAAAAAATAAAATAAAAAGTGGGACACAGGAGACAGAAGGAGCTCCGTCCAGCTCACCGCTGGTKGACTTCAGCTAGCTCCTCCTCCTTCTCCCGGGTGATCCGCTCCACCTCCAGCCGCAGCCTCGCTCGCACTTCCGACACCTCCACCTTCARCCGGCGGTTCTCCTCCTCCGTCGCCACCAGACGCTCCGCAAACTCCTGCYGTATCACCTCGGCCAGGCTGCGGCGCTCCTCCGCCAGCTTGTCTCGGCTCTGAGAGGACGAGGAGGAAGATTGGGTTTTAGCAGAACGAACGACGGGAAGCTGAAGACGCTCGCGCTCTTCACCTGAGTGACGTCGYTGAGCTCCTGCTCCTTCTGCCGGAGCGTCGCCTGCAGCCGGATCAGGTCTCCCTCCGTCTCCAGCTGCTGCCTCCTCAGCTCCAGGTGTTTCTCCACGGCGGCTCTCTCGGAGCGTTCCAGCTCTTTCAGCTCGGACTCAAACTTCTCCCTCAGACGCTTCACCCTGAAAGCAGCGAGCATCATGACTTTGTGTTGAGGAGAACGTGCAGGGGGTGAAGTTCTGCTCCAACACACAGACACAAACACACACACACACACACACCTGTTGTCAGCCACCCTCTCACACTCCTCCTTGTCTTTGCTCGTCTCCTCCTCCAGCGTCCAGATGGCGAGCTGGATCTCCTTGTCTCGTTCTCGCCTCAGTTCTTCCTTCAGCGCTCGCTCGCAGCTCAGCATCCAAGCTTCCTGTRGACGTGTAAACATGTGCCGACACGTTACAAACACGCTTTCTAAAGTGTATTTTAATGTTTTTAGACTCCATACTTCTCCAGATTCTGCTGACCTGGGGAACCAGGATTTTGAGAAAAAAAGTTTGTTTTTTAACTTCGTCAGTGATCAGATCTATCCAAATTCATGTTTCTTAAAGGGGCATTATCATGTAAAATCAACTTTTTTGAGCTTTATATCATGTTATAATGTTATCCTCTCATCAAAAA